CCGTGGCCCCTTTGGTACTCCCTAACGGACCTGCTTAGCTACGCTAACCAGATAAACGCACTGGTCTCGACTTGCGTTTANCGTTGTGGATGTCAAGCTTTACAGGTGGTGCTTCACCTGGTTTTTGTATTCGAGATCACTATTTGTGGGTAGTCAGTTTTTGTAAGATTGGAGGTTTCTGTTGGAGCAACTGGAATGTAAGCTGCTTCATATTCGGCCCTTTGCAGTTCTTTCTTCTTTTTCTCATTCCCTGTCTCTCACTGCTGTCCGAGCTTCTTGAGCACCCAATCTGTGGGCTGCCTACCTCATGGGATTTTTGTAAATTTTGTGTACTTAAATACACACATAAACAACGTCACTTACCTCAAAAAAGGGATAAAATTTATTGCTATAGGTTGAAAAGATCAGCACTTATAGGAGATAACCAAAACAATAGGACACTAAGCTCACTTGAAAAGAGTATCTGACATAAAGATTTGTGAAAGTTTTGCTACCTCCTTGACGAACACCAATGCATCAGACCCCAAGGCATGCAACTTTTTCCATTCACGCATCATGGCAATGCGTGAAGTACTTGGTTGAATTGCAGCCTGAGGCCCATGTTGAGCACTTTTTAATAGTTATGATACAATTGACTCTAGATGAAGTCATGAAACCCTAGTAGGGATGGTAAAAAAAATTTGTTCATGGTGGTTGTAGGAACTCTAGCAGATCTGTTTTGTTGATCTCTGCATGCACTGGTTGAAACCACAAACAAAACCCAAGAGTATGTATTCGTACCTATAGAAATTCATTTTCCTAGGTTTTCATGTCTTTTAAGATGTATTTATTACATTACTACCAAAAGAATACTTAAAGAGCCACCCGAGGTATCAAACCATATATCCAGTAGAGAAAGAACAAAAAATACCATATATCCAGCAGAGAAAGAGTAAAAAAGATGGACCCAAACAGTACAGGGGCATTTCCACATTCATGGTTTTTTTTTTTTGAAGGTGAGCACATTTATGGTTATATGAGGGAAAATGGTGTGGGAACAGATGTTTGAGTCGTGCCTCCCAGTGCCTGAATGGTGAATGTAATCCAGTTTCAGAAAAACTCAACCAACTCTATAATGGTAGTAAAGACCTAGTTTGCTTTTCTGACATTTAATAATCAAGGGTCTATGCAATTCTAGTGGTAAGTTATCTGCCAATGGGATTGAACTAAGGGCAGGTAAGAACATGTGGCCCCAAACCAACTTCATACTTCAGGTAACTAACAAAAGTTGAAATGCTGTTGGAGATCCTTCAATGAAATGCCAATAACTTGGTTAGATCTGATTTTTGAAATCTGACTTGAAATTCTGGCTACAATCATCTTGATATAAAACTATACCTCAACAACTAGTTACAGCTTCTAATGATCATCAAAACAAATAACATAAAACAATAGAAAATAGCAAGTTCAGATCTGACTTCTGAAATCTGGCTTAAAACTAAGGGCAGACAAGAACATGCGGCCCCAAATCAACTTCATACTTAACTAACAAAAGTTGAAATGCTGTTGGAGATCCTTCAATGAAATGCCAATAGCTTGGTTAGATCTAATTTTTGAAATCTGACTTGAATTCTGGCTACAATCATCTTGATATAAAACTATACCTCAACAACTAGTTACAGCTTCTAATGATCATCAAAACAAATAACATAAACAATAGAAAATAAGCTTACAACCATGACAATGTCAAAAGAGAAAAAAGAATGAAGATTAACAAATTAATTAAGCAATTTACAATGAGAAAAAAAATAGTTTCAACAACGAATTTGAAAGTTATGATTTTAAAGATGTAAATTTAAAGTGGAAGGATGCATCATACAGCACTTTTCTCATCTGGATCATTTTGAAATACATAGAACAGAGGAGCCAACACTTCATTCATTCCTTGCACATATCTTATTCCTGGATTCAACTTTGCAAATATAAGCAGTATGTTTTTCAGTGCTTCCTGGAAAAAGAAAGCGAAATGAGAAAAATATCTAATAAAAAGTTAGATAGGGCAACCACAACGAGGAAAAAGATATTCATTCAAAGGTCAAATACAAGCAAAGACAAGGTCACATAGCAGGGTACCTGATTTGATCTCGCCAAAGCAGAATCTCCAGAGAAAAAATGCATATCTGGATGGGTACGCTTCACATCACGATCAATCTGCTCCGCAATTTCTGTGTCCTAACAACAGATTAAACTGATATTAAGAGTATGTTTTCCATGCTTAAATTTATTGTTATATACATTACAGAAGTCATCAAACCAGAAACACATCAATCCAAACTTGTTAGACAACAGATCCAATTGGTAAAAATATTGCCAAAACTCCAGAGCAAGTTTGACTCACTGGCTAATGTGAGCTAGTTTATCACCAAACCCATGCTTAAGTTTATTGTTATATACAGTACAGAAGTCATCAAACCAGACGCACATCAATCCAAACTTGTTAGACAACAGATCCAATTGGTAAAAATATTGCCAAAACTCCAGAGCAAGTTTGACTGACTGGCTAATATGAGCCAGTTTATCACCAAATCTAATCAAATTCAACAGGTTCAGATCACAAGCTAAACACAATAAACGTTCAACTGGGGCTTTGCTGAATTTTTGGAGTTTGCAGTCAGTATAAAGCTCTATTGGGTTAAAGGGATCAGGGACCAGCTCCAGGAAAAACAGACATTGTCTGGTCCAGCTCAGTGTTTGTAATAATGCTGAACATAATCCTATAGCTTTCTAAAAAGCATACCTGGAAGAATTGATTCCATACACTACTCTTCCCAAGGCTCAGAGGGTGTTCCCCATGAGTTATTTCGGACCTTGGGAGTAAACCGTGTCCATCACATCTTTGTTCCTCATTGCAATGACCAGCAGATTCCTCCAACCTCCGAGTAACCTCTGACTGACTAGCATAAAACCCATTTAGATATCCAAGAAATAAAATAAACCAGACAACTAATTATCTTTTTCTGAAACAAAGACATAAATAAAAATATATATATAGCAAAACATTTATGAACCCAAGACCAAAAAACTCAAAAATCAAAATCAAAATCATCACAAACCCTTATGGTACATACAATTTATCAAAGACAAACCAAGGCACACAGCTCCTAAATAGTGCAGTTTCAAATGTCCAAGGCAATAAATAAGATAAACAGAAGAAACTTCAACGGGATCATCAAGCAATCAGATATGTCAGAAAAACTACACTGAAAGATAGCAGACAATGAAAGAATAAAGGACATACGAACGGTATGTTTTTGGCACCAAACCTGCTTCCTTAGGTACATGAACGATCCACTCAATGAGGAGAAAGAATGAATGTTATAAATAGGCAATAGAATAACACAAGAGATGGACCCTATCGATGGAAGCTTAAAATACAGGCAGCCAAAACCTTTCACTTTTTTAACCTTACATATAATATGATTATCCACTTGACCAGCAGTTTGCTTTTCTGCTTACATGGTATGCTCTAGTAAAATTGAATTTCACTTATATATCCAGCTTCCAAGGGAAACAGCCTGTTTCTCCAACCAGTAAATCACATGTATCATGTCTCCATGAGAAGCACATGAAAATCAAGCATGATTTAGAAGTACATAGGCCTCCAACAAGTTCAGTCTGTTGGCATTCACGGTCATGCAAAACAATCATCTACTCCACTGTAAATGTCTTTGAAAACACCCCCACACCCCAGACCCATCCCCACCCAACGTGTGGAGCACCTGTAGAACCAAGATTGCCTTTTGAACATCTATCAAAAGTTTTAGAAATCCATTTAGTCGGTGCTCTAATCTATCTGCATTTTCACCTTTAGATTGAAATCTACTGACCACTTGCAGCACCCATCCACCATATATGTAAGTTTGGATTTATTTTAATCTAAAGACTTCTCGCCCAACTAGTCCAACTCCATCATATCCTCTCCATGACATCCCCATTTGAAACATTCTTTGCTTCTGAGCATTTGATTTTTTTCTTCTTGAAATTTATCACATGGCTCTAGGAATGCAATCCCAAAAAAAATACTAAGTCTCCACGTTCACTAGATTGATATCCATTCTCCAACAAGATTTAAGAATGAATTAGATCAAACCCAATAGATTCTGAATAAGTAAATATTTCCCAAAATTATCATGTGATGTTATAACAATGTTTTGGAGTCAGAAACCTCTGTTAAGAGAATGGTTCCAAAAAAGATTTTATCAATGCTACCTACATCAGAAAATCTAGAAACTCTAGGGGGGTGTCCATTCCTACAGTGTAATATTATCAAAGGTAACACCCTCTTCCAAACCACACAACCCAGAAATGTAATATTATACAGAAAAACTATCTACGGGGATGTCTATTCCCACTGTGTTGACCAAAGCCCAAAACCCATTTTCGGATGATTTTAGGACGTCAAATTTTGCAAATGCAACTTGATCATGTTGTGAACAATTCTAAATTAAAAAAAAAATGTTCAGCTGTTAAAATTGTGGACCATATAGTCCACATAGACATGGCCCGGATTTGTAGTTAGAGCAGGAGCTGTCGTCTAATAAATGGACAGTTCTCGAAGCATCCATCAACACTGTAGAAATTTTGGCTCTGTCCATATAAAATTTTCCCTCATTATACATAGCCAGACTTTCATAGGACAATCTCAAGGAAAAAGTGCTAAGGTAGAAGACCAACACCAATGTCTTCCTACAAGTAATGACAATATGGAGCAAAAAAGTAAATTCAAGGAGGTCACATCAACTCTTCCATCGCATCACCTACATTTTCTTCTTGATGGAGGCAACAAACTCACCCCCTCCCAAGAAAACAACCCACCACTTATTATATGAGGATAAAGGCAAACTGGAGCTCTCCAAGCTTGGGCTTCAACTTCACTTGGACTATAAACTTTTAACAAAAATACCAAAGAAATTCCCCAACTCTTTACAGACCAATAGATAATATAGGCAGCTAGTTCAAAAGTAATCATCAACTCTACTTAAAAAGTGTACAATTCCCAACTTCAAAAGATAACATAGAAAACAGATTATATAAGCCAACAGGCTTATACTGAAACATAAGCACCTTGGAAAAGTAAAGGGCTTCATGAAAATCACATCCAAGGGCTGGGCTGAGCCAAATTTGATTTTATGGACTTGGTTGGAATTATTTTGTATTGAGCATTTTTTAAAATTTGTAGCTCAAGCTATTAAATTGGGTTTGAGTTGCATGACATTTGACTCTCCCAGGAAGATAAGGTGGGTTTCAAAGATAACCATTTTGGTTTCCAATGTGAACTTGGTAAAGAATATTACGAGTAAAGTTGGGGTTTTAATCTAGAAATTATAGGGTTGTAATAAAGGAGCTTTGGTCCAATTCTTTAACATTGTAATTTCCTGGATTTAACCAGTGGTAGTCATTGAAGCTTGGCTTCTAAGCTTTCCCTTTTAAAAATCAATGTATCCTCTCCATTCTTCAACAACTTTTGGCTCTAAGATCAAAAGAAGGGAAGTTTTAACTTTTCGCTCCCCTTTCGCATCAGTTGGTATCTGAGCACAGTTTTGAAGACAATTGGAGACAATGATGGCGAACCATGGAGGACGTAGCTATTGAAATGCCAATCGACAATTTGATGGAGATGGATGAAAAGTTGATGTGTAGATAGAGATCAAAACAGCATACTCAAATGCTACGAGATCTACAAAGACAGAACTATATATTGAGAGTTTTCATGGAGATCGGATGTAAATCCGAGGGCTTGATATTATGTTTCATCGTACCCATGGGTTCGATGCATAACTGTGTCAACAAGAGCATAAACATGAAGATGAGTCAAGCAGCCGACCACTTGAGGCCAACATGACCAGCATATAGGCACCAAGAGAGGAGTTATGTGATCGACAGTGATAAGTAAAGTTCAAGCAAAGAGAGTCCGTTTCAGTTATTACTATTGTTCGAAAATTCAGCCGCCCGACCGCCTAGGCGAAAAAAATTTCAAAAGGCCTAAGCGCAGTCTAGGCGGGTGCATTAGGAGTTTTTGCTTCTGGGCACCCGCTTGGGTGGTCTGGGTGGCGCCTAGGCTATTGTCTGGGCGTCTGCCTAGGTGGTGGCCCCGTAACAACTTGCAGACGGTGGAAAAAACCCTCGAGTGAGGGCAAAATATGTAATTTTTCTCCCTTTTAGGGGGTATACTAAACCCCCAATAGAAAATCCATGGCCTTTAGGGTGAGAAAAACCGCTCAAAAACCACTATTTTGTGATTTATCGAAAGATCGATAAGTGTTTTATTTTTTCTATTTCTTCCCAAAACGAAGGCAATAGTTCTTGGGTGGATTTGAAGCTTCTAGTAGTTGATTTTGAGAACTTTTGGCGACCCAATAGACGAGGATTGCACCAACATTGATTTGATTTTGATATTTTTAAAATATTATCATATTTGAAAGAGAGTTTTGATTTTATTTTGCTACAACATTTTATCTTATGAATCATGTGTTTTTTCTTTTACTTTTTTTTTCTTTTAAGTTATATTTATATGTTTGTAGTTAAAAGATTGATTGTTTTGGTGATTAATCGAATTTTTCTCACTTGGACAATATTTGGGTTGGGGGGGGGGGGTTTATTTTGGTGAGCGCACCCTGTCTCTGAGTGCCCACTTAGGCGCTCGAATCCGTTTTTTTGAACATTGGTTATTACAGCTGACTTCCCTTAAATTTATGGAACTCTCTCTAAGGCCGAGAATGAAGGAACTATGTTCACATGAATTGGGTTCTTGAAATCAACACGTTGTACATTGGGACCCCGAACTTTGATGAGTGCCCAAGCAAGGATTTGGATTATGTGAAAAGTTCAATTTTTGACATATGGTTGAAATGTGAGGAGAAATTAAGTTTTGATGAGGAAGATGATGTTGAAGACAATGGTGAAGAGGTAGAACGGGTGGCAATCAAAGGGGGAGGCTGCAAAAGGTTCCTTTCTCTCACAGGTGGCATGGTTGATCCTTATTCTTCCAACTCATGAGAGCTCACACCAAAAGTTGCGCACAGCTGAACTTAGATGCACCCAAGCTCACTGTGCCTTGCCCAAACATGTGGTGCCATGGAAGATGCGCACCACGGACTTTCAGCACAGTTTTCTGCTGGTGACTTCACTGAAGTCTATGTCCATGAAGAAATTGATAATATTACCCTTGATGCTCGAAAGGCAAGCTGAGCATTTGCTTTGTATTGAGTGGAGGAGCCCCAATAGCAACTCATCATGTTCAAGTTGAAGAAGGTCGCGGGTGTATTCATCTTAGCCCATTTCTAAATTCATGGGCGTGATTTCTCAGATATGTTCAGAGCCACTATAATCATGCATATGTAATATAGAGATGTGCGAGATTTCTCTAAACAATCTCTTAAAGCATGATTTAAAAAGTTTAGTGAGGCACTGCTGAAATTTGTGTTCAAAGGAGTCAAGTTGATCATACACTCTTTGTGAAGAAGGATACTACTGGAATTACTAGCTTTATTGTTTATTTTGATGATATTGTTGTCACAGGCAATAATGTGAAGGGCATTGAGGATCTTAAATCTTATTTAAGCAAGGTGTTTGATATCAGAGATTTAAGACCTCTTTAAGTACTTTTTGGGAATTGGAGTGACAAGATCAAACAAATGGATAGTCACCTCCAAGAGAAAATATGTGTTGGGCCTGTTACAACAAACAGGTATATTGGGATCTAGACCTATAGATACTCCAATAGAAGTCAATCATAAACTTCAAGGAGAAAGGGGAGAGCTACTTAAAATATCCTAATCAGCATCAATGAATAGTGGGCAAGCTTATATATCTCACAATCACTCGACCAGACATTTCTTATGCAGTTAGCGTGGTTAGCCAATTTATACATGCACCACATAAACCCCACCTCGATGTTGTACAGAATATTAAGGATATATCAAGTTTGCACCAGGGAAAGGGATATTTTTCTCAAATCAAGGACATCTTGATGTTGCAGTTTATACAAATGCTGATTGGTTTGGTTATTAAACTGATAGAAGATCCACAACTGGTTATTATACCTTCATTTTGGAAAACCTGGTTACTTCGTAAAGCAAGAAGCAAAATGTGGTATATCCTTCCCTTTCTCTTCTTGGACACCAAGTTGGCAAGATCAAGTGTTGAAGCTTACATGGGAAGTAATGTGGATCAAAAGTGTTCTTTTGTATTTAGGTGTTAAGAGTTAAGATTCCCATGACTCTATATTATGACAATAAAGCAGCCATTTATATCGCAAAAAATCATGATTTTCATGAAAGGACTAAACACATTGAAGTAGATTGTCACTTTATTAGATAGAATGTTCTCCCAAGATCATTCAGACTCCTCGTGTTAAGTCTAAAGATCAACTTACAGATATCTTCACCAATGCTGTTGAATGGGATTGATTACATAACGCCACAAGCAAGCTGGGCATGATTGATATATATGCACCAGCTTGAAGGGGAGTTGGAAATATAAGGAATATGCTTTATTGTATTTGATGGACAGAACTGTCATTTATATTTTGTTTAGTCCTTATTTGTCTTATGTCTCTAAATAAAGACAATATTGCCCATTAGCTGTAATTAGTGTTATTACTTAATGTTATAAGAGGGGTAGACGCCAGTCTCTTTCCCTATGTCTCTCTATCTCTCACATGTCTTTGTCTCTCTCTCCCCTCTACTTCTTCTTCATCATCTTTTTTTTCTTTCCACTCTTTCTTTCTCGAGATCCTACCAAACTATTTTATTCTCTACTTTAATTTCAACTTGGAAAACCATTGATGATGTCATGGATGATTTTGAAATCCATTAAATGGGTGAATAATTTTATTCCATGAGTCGCAAGAGGCATGGGCTTTTATTCCATTTAATGGAATGGGCTTTTGCTGAATAATTTTTCAAAATACTTTTAGGTGTTTAGTTTTAGGAAAACCCCATTCATGAGTCGCAAGAGGCATGGGCTTTTAGGTGTTTAGTTTTAGGAAAACCCCATTCATGACTCGCAAGAGGCATGAACTTTCAAAATACTTTTAGGTGTTTAATTTTATTCCATGAGTCGCAAGAGGCATGGGCTTTTGATGAATAATTTTTCAAAATACTTTTAGGTGTTTAGTTTTAGGAAAACCCCATTCATGACTCGCAAGAGGTATGGGCTTTTAGGTGTTTAGTTTTAGGAAAACCCCATTCATGACTCGCAAGAGGCCTGGACTTTCAAAATACTTTTAGGTGTTTAATTTTATTCCATGAGTCGCAAGAGGCATGGGCTTTTGGTGAATAATCTTTCAAAATACTTTTAGGGTGTTTAGTTTTAGAAATCCATTGAAAAATAAAAACTCAAAATAAAATTTGTGGTGAATAGTTTTAGGAAAACCCCATTCATCTTAAGAGTCATGAAACTCGAAAAATCCTTGTGGGTCTTGAATATCATGGTTTGCTCGTTGAATGAATTCAAAAAGTTCAATTATTCAACTTTTTGACACTCATCAAAACTAAATACAACCACTCAAGAACACAATAACTTGAAAGATAATTACCCAAGAAAAAAGAACTGAAGCTATTACAGCTCTAATTGTAATTCCATCGAGCATAAATCAATCCAGTCAAATTCACAGAGAATCAAATTCATAAAGAAGCCACTCATATACAATCACAACTCAATGAGCTAACTATCTATCTCCAAAAAAATATTACTTGGTGAAACAAACATAATGCAAATGTCAAGAGAAGAAGAGCCAAGAAAAAATGAAAACACACTCCATAAATACCATATAATTCATGAAAGCAAACTGAAGAGTAAGCATCGAATGCCCATCTCAAAGCCATGAGTTTTCTCTCTCACCACATCAACAACAACACCAAATTCAATATAAAAAAAAAAAGGAGCAAATGGCACATACCCACCTCAAAACATCAATTTCTCGCACATCACATCACAAACAAAATAAAATTAATGAAAATCGATATCAAAAGAGCAGAACTTAGAACCACCTCAAAACCAACATTTCCTCTCTCATCATCTCTAGAGAAAGAAAGAAAAAAACCCCATGAACTAGTAGCCGAAAACATAACCGGAATACGGGTCAACAGACATTGGCATCTCAATATTCACTTATTTTCAAAATTTCATAATGCACTACCCCTATTTTTCTTAAAAACCTAAAAACTTTATAATGATTTGTTGAGATTTTTTTTGTTGGGACTTGGGGTCATATCATTTATATTGGATTATACACTTCAGAGGGAATGTGTATTGATTGATCAAGGGTTAGGCAATCTATGGCCTTGATCATATTCAAAACCCTTACCCATCAAAAAGAGTTTACAAAATGTCATTCCTTATGATATTGGAGAGCTGTCCAGGAATGAATTGTAGGCTAGGAGAGTTGTGTGGTCTCCTGTATGCAGATGTAGGCCTGTACGAGCGAGGGCTAATCCTCAACAAACTTCCGCGCGATATGTACGGATGACAGCCGCATTGCCTGGAAGCAAACTTCAAAACAGATACATGTATATGTGGATAGAGAGAGTCCCCCTTGCACTATAGGGATATGCGTTTGAGGTGATCTTAACGGGGAATTGTAATCCACATTCGAGAGACAGTAGTTCTGTTGCTCATTAGTCAGCTTTGACAAGCCAATCATGAGCCCTTGCAAGAGACTACAGTTCAAGGGTTTTGTTGGGTCGCTTTGAGAAGATAGTTGTGGATTACAGTCACTGGGTCGGGTGGAGTGCCTTTATAGTTAGTTTTCTTGACCCATTGGTACCCATCCACTTCTAGATACTTCATTTGTCAATGTTGAAAATGTTTCAATGAATTTTTAAAAAAAATTCAGAATTTTCTAAATTTTTTTTTTGAGAATATTTTCTAAGTTGTTTTTCAGTACTGAAAAACCTGAAAAGGGTATTTTTGAAATTGTGTCCCACACCTCATGGGTGGAGCATGGTGCCCATGGGGCCTACATGTCACCAATCAGGGTGGTACACCCCTCTCCACTTTTATTTAAAATGGTGTTTTAATTAATATATGTTTTAAGTAAGTTAATGTTTTAAAAAAAAAAAAAGGAAAGATTATGCGTGCTTATGATTTTTTTGTTAGCCGGTTTTGACCAAAATATTTTATTTTCACTTCCTACAATTTTAAAGAGATAAAAAAGGAAGTTCTAAAAGGTGTTTAAATTGGTCTTATGTTGTTAGACCAAAACTGGATATGGGTTAAAAAATAAGGGGATAAGGTTCCTAATATTCTTCCCTAAAAGATAATGGCTAATGTATGGGATGATGGCTCAGATTTAATTCTCTCACACCTCATAGATTTCCTAAATCCCTATTGATTAAGATGAGTCATAATTAGATAGGCATACCTAGGGGGGTTGAGGCCTATACAAGGAGGGAACCCCCCTTCGTTCTCTGCACAGTTCCCAAGCCCCTTTCTCTTTCTCGATTTCTCTCTTGTCCAAGCTCCACTCTCTCTCATCTCATCTCTCTATCTCTCTCCCTCCTCTCTCTCTAGTTGGCACGCCACCCATAAGAAAAAGGGTGGGTGGCACACCTAACCTTAGGTTTGAATAGAGGGGGCCACATCCAACCTCAGAAAAGGGAGATGCCTTTATGGCATGCCCTAATTGTTCTAAAGAGGGTTCTAATAAACCCTAATTGTATTTTCCATTCTCTAAACCGTAGTTTGAGAAGCTTCCCGGCTCTGAAATTTCAGCAAGACCAATAAAATTGAAGTGCACCATCGATCAGGAAATTGGATGCAGGATGTATTAAGTCCCATAGGACGACCCTCTGCAAAATCCAGTAAGTCTTCCTGGCATTTAGTTTTAATTTTCAGCCATAGTTGCATGTTTATTCTGAATCTCCAGGAACATTATTTGTACCTCAATTGTTAGTAGAAGCTTGAATGTTAATTATGGATTGTGTTTATTTATTTTGGCAGTAAAAGGAAAGGTCCTAAGTTGTATTTAGGTTTTAATTTTCATTAATAGCAGTGCATTGTGGCACTTGTGAGTGGAATTCAGATTCAATAATACAAAGAAAAAATTTCTATTTTATAGTATTGAAATCCACATGACCACATCTCTCATTCATTCCGCAAGATCGGGCCGATCTACCAATCTAGATTGCCAATCCGCTGATCCCGATTGGTTTACAAGATGGCTGATCCAGATCACTAATCCATTCTTTAAAGCATTGCTAAACCCCTTGGAAAGCATAAGCAAATGATTAAAGCTAAGTTACATTGTTCCGCTCACAAAACTTTCCAGCATCATCCTTGCCAAATGTCCCTAGTTGTGTTATGGTTAGAAGTAAATGAATACATGAAAAATAAGTAGAAATCAACCATGTAAAATAAGTAGCAATCAACCTCATAAAAAAGAAGCGAAACATTACAAATCATATCAGTCAAAAACTGCTTACACCCAACCTTCCATAATCCAAAATATATGAATGCATAAAAGTGCTGAGTGCTGATAGACAACACTCACTGGATTCAATAGAAGCTCCTCCCTAAAGAGTGCATATTGTGAACGCTTCTTCGCCAATTCATTAGCCCACATATCTCGATCATTTGGCAAATAACCCAAAAGCAGCTGCCCCATCCGCAAGAGAAATAAAACAGACATAAGCACCAAACATATTGTACACACATGACATAGATTAAGCAAATATATGAAAGCGAATACACTAAAATAATAATAATTAGCATGTACAACACTACAAACACTGGTCTTTAGTGCATGCTTTATCCCAATGTTGATTAAGTTGCGTAACAGTTTATGAACGCATTTTTCACCAGATTATCTTGAAAATTCATTAAAAATTAATCTTCTTTGAAAAGAATAACAGGAAGAATAAACTGGATAGAAAGTATCCTTTTGTTATTATCAATAATTATTTTTTTAATTGGATCATATTGAACAACCAAAAAGAATAGAAACAAAAGCTAAATACCTTCCATATGGTTGGACGAAGACCAGCACAATCAGGTATACCCTGAGAACCCAATCTCCTTAATTCTCTAAGATCAATCACCTTCCTCGAGAGCTAATTCACAGAAAACCATAACTCAATAAACCAACGGCCAAAATATTTGGAAAATTTAATGAAAAAGGAGTAAAATTTGACGAAAAATTATCAAAACAAACCAATCCACAATAAACCATAATTCAATTGATCAAATACCAAAAAAGTAAGCCAAACAGGAACGTGATTTGACAAGAAAGGATAGAATTTTCACGGAATGAAACTGCAACCTACCTCTGAAAAGAACCGAGCTCGACGATCAACATCTTCAGGCGAAAGGTTAGCATTTGAATCTAGGGTTTCAGGTTCCTCAACAGAAGAAGGCGGAGTCTTTTCATGTGACGTAGAAACCGGAATTGGAGCTTTATCTGCATGTTGAGGTGGAGCCTTCTCATGTGGAGTAGGAACTGCAATTGCAGCTTTATCTGGACGTTGAGGTGGAGGAATGGGATCTGGTTTTAGGGTTAAGGTTTCTTCAGAGGGCTTGGTGGCGTATCTTTGAAGGCGATCATCGGAAGAAGGGTTGGGAGTGGACCAGATGGAGCTATTGAGCCACTCGGGTACGCTCTTCACCATCGCAGATGTGCCCTAGAACTCACCCACAGTTACCCACCATCTGAACAGTATCACTGCACCTCTCTCTAAGTTCTAAACTTTCATTCTTCTTAGGCGCGTTTCTCTCTCTAAAACCTACCTGTATCTCGCAAAGCATGTAATTGAGATCCTTCCAGGTTTTGTGAATGGGGATCACGTGCTTGGGAAGACGGCAAGTTAAGGACGCGTGCATGTCTCTAAATGCAGTATCCTCGAATGGAATGTAAACTAGGAAATACTTGCCATTGTTGCAGGAGATCACAATGGATCCTAGTTATTAGAGGTCAAATTGAATTACTTTAGGGTGTATCATGGAGCTCGAAAAGTTTTTAGTGACCTTCGAAATATAGTCAATGACATAATAACTCAATTTAAAACCCTGCGGATAAGATGAATTGTGCCATCTTGTATTAAAAATAAATATTTTTTTATGTACTTTTTTTTTTGTTTAAAAAACTAGGATTTGTCAGGTGAATAGGCCTTAAAAACTCACTTGAATATGTGAATTCGCAAATTGGATAGGTGAACCGATTGGTTTAGGCTAATTGGGCATTAAGAATATTTTAAAAATTAGTTAAGTTACTTAAAAATTAAGTTTTGTAGGACTCCTAAAAATAGAGGTATTATATTATACATATCCATTATTTACCAAAGGGAAAAATTTACATAAAGTTGCAACTTAAAAATGTAGAACTACATATGCACCTCAAAATTCCATCGAAAAAGGTTATTTTAATGTTAAAGAAACCTCTAATGAATCACCTCGACATCGAGATGTATGAATATGAAAGAAAAAAAAGATTTTCAGTCCCAAAAATAGTACATTTTGCAATACATTATCTAGACCATCCATTTTCAAGATTTTCATATGTTTATAGATTTGCATGATTTTAACCATTTTTTTAATTTGAAATTTTATAATTAGATATAAAAATAGATTTTGAGATAATTCGAAGAATTATTTTCACAAAAAATACATGTTATGATAAAATTTGGAGGTGCACCTCCATTGGATTGTTTAAGGTTGCATCCTTATAAAAACCACACCCTTTACCAAAAGTACGTAAAATATTGAGAGCATCTTTCATGTTTGAGTGTTTATTATATTACTGTTTTTGTTGATATTGTAAAAATAAAATTTAAAATGTAATCAATTATAATAAAATGGATATATAGGGATACATAGCTATTAACACTATGGCTACGTAGTTCCAAAGATAAAACATAATATCGAAACAAACTACCAGCTACATCATAGTCATTCAAATCTTGATTCTCACCATGGTACAGTCGAGATGAATTGTTGAATCAATTGATGTATAATACAAGGGTTCCGACTCTTGAGGACCTGGCTAACTATTCCTACCCCATTAATTCAAGATGAATTAGGCATCGCTAGTGTTTCCCATAACTAGAAATCCCCTGGACTAGTGTACCCCCTTATACTTTCCTCCACGTTGCTGCTGGGTCCTTGGTTGAGACTAGGTTCCTTTAAAATCATTCCCTCTCCCATCGCCCACAACTCCTTCTCAGTCTCTCTCAATAAGTGCATGATTACTTACATCTCCTTAGAAGTGCTCTATTTTTGGAGGGTCACCTCCTTCTCCCTATAGTGCTCATCTTCTTCATCCTCTTCCTCCCCTAATGTCTATTGTCTCAAAACGTGCTTTCTTTATGTAGCGCTGGCTTCTTCTCTCCTATCACCCACTTCCCGACTATATTGGGGGTAGATATAGAAATTTTGCATTAGAGAAATACCACATTCTCTTGTTCATATCAAGGCTCCAAAACAATAAAGAATACTTGATTTTGTAGAATGCCTTTCTAGTGTAAGAGTCATGCTAATAAGCTTTTCAGAAGTTTGCGATATGACCACAAAGCCATTGGCTTTTGAATCTCTGATTCTCAACTCACCAAAACAATGAAATAAAATGGACATGGCAACAAGTGATCTAGCTTTGATATCAATGAAAGTTAGACTATGTAATCTGGGCAAGTGTATACTTATTAAAAAAATTATCCTTTTTTTATTTTTACTAACCGAATTACTTACAAATGTTTAAATACATAATGAGAAACAATAAAAACACAAAGAATCCCAATAACTCTCACTTACTGCCACTTTGACAATTCTTTGATTGCCACAAATAAAATTATATAAATTTGATATTGGGATTATTAACTACATAATACTCATAGGAATAAGAGATCACAAGAAAACATAAAATGGAGGATGTCAAAGATTACCTCAACCCGGCTTAATATGCCCCACACCAGATCTCATTCTCCAATAGTGCATGAGATCAATGATCTACAAATTATGGAAAAGCTGAAGGCTAGAATCCTTAACTTCATGGCGGGTATGAAACTACTATGGGCCACGTGCCAAGGCACCTCAATGCCCCCCCCCCCCACCCCAAGCTTAGGTAGGGCTTGCCGCTCCAAGATATTTTGAGAGAGCGAGAGAGTTTCCCTATGGGTGGTGTACCACCCTTTTCTAGAGAGAGTGAGTAGAGAGAAAGAGAGAGGTGTGATAAATATGGGAGAGGAGGTCCATGTTTGTAATTTTTTCTTGGGCTAGGGTTTCCTTAAGGTTAGCCATCCTTGTGTTGATTGAATCCAAACCATTGAGCGTAGAAGACTTGTGGAATGAGAAATCTGAGCTATCCAATAATTAGATCAGCTCTAGATCAGCTATCATGATTAAAAAGAATATGCTAGAGCCTGATCCTCTAGCTTCCTAAGTCTAATCTCATTAAATATTGTAATATCAAAAAATATTATCAATCATTGCATATTTTTCCATAATCTTCTTACATAATATTTTGATTGAAATCAATCTCTCTTAGATTTTAAATCATACCAAAATTCATTAACTTGATTTGAAAGCTTATGGTGGCTTGAGCACAATTAAAAAGTTTTAGTCAATTTGGGTGGGGCGTGGCACCCTTAGGTGGCCTCAAGTGATCCCTACCAAACATCACCGTGTGCATTGTATTATGGTAAGAGGGAGTTTCCCTTAGAGTAGGGCGTGCCATCCTAGGTTGCCACATGTGAGTCCCACTCAATCCCCCATGTGTTTTAATTAATGGTGGGTCCATAGCTTATGGTGGGCCCCCACAAGTTAAGTAAATTATAAAAATTTTAAAAATGAATATTTAGATATTTGAAAACAAATGAGAAACTACTTGAAAATTTGTAGAGATAGAAACTATCTAAAAAAATTTGGAGAAAAATTATCAACTATCTGAAATTTCAATTTTTTAGAGGGAGAAACTGTCTTAAAATATTTAGAAAGATAAATTATATCAAACTTTACTTTTTTAAAGAGAGAAACTATCTCAAAATTTAAAGTTTGATGTGTTCTCTCTCTTTGTGCAAGTTTCCAATTGTGTTTGCCAGACAAGGGTAAAAGCTTGCGCAAGTAATCTTTTCCTATAAACTGTTTACATAAGAAAATATTTTTCTGTCAAACTTTCACACATACCAAACGACCCCTAATAGCAAACTGGTTTTACAAATGATGATCCAAACATGAGATTTCAAAACTTGGGTAGCATCTAAAGCGATCCAAACAAATACTGTTTGCGTAAGCATATTTTAACATAACCAAAGTTTGTCATAATAAGGTTTTCATTGATAAATCTGGCCCTTGAGGGAAATAAATTCATATAAGTACAAACTGTTTTTTACGTAAACTAAGATTTGAGGCCCAAAACAACTTATCATAGAAGCACCTTCGAATAGCCTTTGTAGACAAAGGAGAGATCTTTGAAATGCAACTTGAAGCACCATGGGTAGACACACGATTGAAAAATTATGCTTCTCTAATGATTGATTGCATCACGATCAAATTGTTTTTTTTCTTCAAAATATTAATATAAGTATTAGAAAATTTTGGATCCATTTTTTTTTATAAAGAATGAATTTTAATATAATTATCTAAAACGAACATATCTCCCTGAATATATTGTAATTGATAGAAGGAAAAAGTTTATACAATAATGCTACCTTATAATGTAGAGCTACAGATGCCCCTCAAAAATCCATTGAAAAATGTAGTTTTAATGTTGAAAAACCCTTTTATCGATCATCTCGACATCAAGATGTATGACTATGACAAATAAAAAGATTTTAAGTCTAAAAAATAGCGTATTTTACAGCATATTATCTACACTGTCCATTTTCAAGATTTTCATATGTTTATATATCTACTTGATTTAAACCATTTTTTAAATTTAAACTTTTATAATTAGATATAAAAATAGATTTTGAGATAATCCTAAGAATATTTTACATCAAAATTATATACCATGATAAAATTTGAAGGTGCAACTTACCTCTACACCTACGGATGCATCCGTAGAGATTCTTTAAGGGCTCGTTTGGTTCGTGCGTAATAGTTTGCATATGTAAAACAATTTTCATATGCAAACAGTTCCCAGTGCAATAGTTTTCTAATTCAGTTTTTTTCCATATTTGATTCAACATATCTAGAATTCCTGTGTACCTAGTTTCTTATGTTTGGCAACCCGTTGGTAAACTATCTCCCAAGTTCCTTTTCTCTCTTTAAAAACCCATTTTCTTTGTCTAGAAACCCAATCCATCTTTCTCGCTCTAGAAACCCAATATCTATTTTTCTCTCTAAAAGCCCAATCTCTCTTTCTCTCTAGCACCCAATCTCTTTTTCTCTCTCTATAACCCAATCTCTCTTTCTCTCTCTAAAAACTCATCTCTAAACGCCAATATCTTTTCTATCTCTAAAATCCTATTTCTCTCTCTATAAACCCAATATCTCTTTCTCTCTCTAAAAACCCATTTTCTCTCTAGAAACCCAATCTCTCTATCTAAAAACCTATTTTCTATCTATAAACCAAATCTTTCTTTCTCTCGCTAAAACCCATTATCTGTCTATAGAAACTCAATATCGATTTCTCTTTCTATTTCAATATCTCTTTTTCTCTCTAAAATCACATTTTTTCTAAAAACTCAATATCTCTTTCTCTCTAAAAACAACTCTCTCTGTCTCTTTAAAACCCATTTTCTCTATTTAGAAACCCAATCTCTCTCTAAAAACCCAATCTATATTTATCTCTCTAAAAACCCATTCTCTCTTGAAACTTGTTCTCTTCTAGAAACCCAATCTCTTTTTCTCTCTCTAAAACACATTCTCTCTAGAAACCAATTTCTATTTTTCTGTCTAAAAGCCCATCCTCTCTCTCTAAATCCCAATCTTTCTCTCTCTAAAAACCTATTCTCTCTAAAAATCCAATTTCTCTAAAAACCAACTCTCTCTAGAAACCA